TGATAATAATTATATTTTGAAATCAATCTTCACAATTGATAAATAAGTTTATTTTTGGTACATTTATGTTTGAGATTTTCCCCAGGATCATTAGTTTGCGGATTTTTGCAGAACGCTATCTAGATTCTGTAAGACCTAAGCATTTCCAGAGAAAGATTTTAGTTTTATAATTATTTCTTTCTTTCTAATTTTTTAACATAGATGCATAGTAACTCGTCATCTTATCAAGAATCGCCACGAGTTTTGTCATTTCGATTAAATATATATAAAGAATAGAATAAATATATATTCTTTCAATCGTACTTTTCTTGGGTACTCTAAATTCTCACACATATGTTAGAAGCCATGAGCATGATACAGCTTTATTCGTTATGTTTTCACAGCTACTTAAGAACTACGGCTTGATATCAATATCACAATTGTGTCAATAATTTTAAAAGAGAGATACTCAACTCTGCACTATTTTATTTTATGACCTCATTTATTTAACATACAATAGCTTTTAAAAGAAATCTTCAATATCTTCCTTCATACATATTAGACCTTCTTTAACATATAGGATACAAAGTTTCTGAATTATTTGTTATATTACTAATAAATATTTTTCAAATTAAATTTGTTTTATTCAGACAACATCATACGTTTTAAAAAAATAACTTTATTTTATTTAACAAAAAATAATATTATTAAATTTTAAAACAATGTTAATAAATATTGTAATCTATTAATATGTTTCAATGCATTTTATTTTTCAAACACTTTACAGAGATATTTTCTATAGATTCCTATTAAAATTTCTGTACTCTAAAATATTTTTAAAAATAGTTATATATTGAGTTCAGTGTTTAGTAAAATTAACATATTTTAATACAATCTATATTAAAAAAAATTTAATGAGAATTGATTTATATTAAAATACTCTATTAATTAATTACTTTTAAATTAAAGAAATTAATTTACGCTATAGGGTATTGGGTTATGCTGAATACAATATGATGCTTTTTCTTGTGTAACACACAATTTAATTAATGATACATTAAATAAATAAACAAATATTGATCAAAAAATTACTAAATAAAACTTAAACTATCTAACAAAAATCAAATAATAAATAATTTTTAACTTTAAATTTTAACTAAACTTAAACTTAAACATTGTACTTAACATGGATGTGCCTCTTCTCAGTGTATTTGGTAAATGTGATAATTTAACATTCACTTTCTTCTCTTTCTGTTTGCTTTTTCTCTCTTTCTCTTTCTCTAATAATAACAATATCTTGTTAAACTTTAATTTATCACATATAAAATTAGTTATTTCATTACTTAGTGACTAATAAAATTTCACTAGATTTAGTTAAAACTTTCTTTCATAGATCGTACTTTCACACAGAACATGAGCATTAATTAAGCTTTAATTAATAGACAGGAAAATTAAAAAACAAAAACGATAAACATATTTATATATATTCTAAAACAGATATATCACTCATAAATTTACAGAATCAGTTATTTGAAGTAAAATTAATCCAATAAATCTACTGATGAATTATATGAATCAACAAATTATTATACAATTTTATTAGACCCAAAAGAATATTTAATAATTTATTAAAAAATTATATATTATTAATTTATAATTATGCATATATAAATTATGTTTTCTATATTTTTAAATGTTATAAAACATCAAATACTTTTTTAAAATAAATTACTTTATTTGACGTTTATAAGTCCTTTAGTATTAAATAAATGAGTAATGATGTTTAAGAAGCAGTTTTTGGATATATAAACATTACTAATATTCAAACATAATTTCAGAAAAAAAGTGGTTCAGAAGGCCATTATCTGCTAGTAGTTTCTATATAGAACTGTATGATTTAATCCTGGAGACAGCTGTGTTTGATTTCGATTTTAGTGCAACACTTGGTTTCTTATATAATGTTTTCCCTGTAAACTACTAGTTTTCAAGGACATCGACTTTTAAATATAAATTCTAAAGTATATTGACAAAATCTACGCAACATTCATGCATCACAGTATTGAAATAATTATATATCAGAAATATATATGTACTTTAAGTTATACTTATATTATTAAAGTTAAACATATCTAAGTGATCTTTTTGAAGTACCTTGTACTGGATTATAATATTACAAAATTTTTATATACGTCTACATCTTAGTTTTTTTGTAGTAAACCAGTTTGCTTAAACTGATGGCTTGATTAATTCAAAATAAAACTATAAATTCTATAACTTCCAAAAATCCTTCAGATTGATTTTAAAAAAATCACACAGATCTTTTTTCTTAATTTTATTTCATTATTAGCAATAATCTGCAATATAAAATAGCCGATTAAATGTCGATTTTTCAGATATATGCTAATATGTATAGACCATTGTTTTCAAACACTGATGTCTTATAGAATTTTCTGGTTGTTAAAATACAGAATTTTCACTAAACGTCCATGCACATAAGATGAACTATCAAGTGATGGACTATCAAGTGTTAAGTAAAAACATTAAGTATTAACTAGCTGTTAATTATTGTTCTCCAAATATATGATTAAAGGGCGCTGACCACCTGCAGACTCAGTAAAATAGAGAAAGAAACATACATTCATATTAACCACTTATAATCTTAAACCAACTGATATTACTATATTTGTCAGACGCGATACTTGATATGGGTTACTTCTATAGTAAGGAGTATCATTTTGCTCTAACGCCAACATCTATAATTATTTTTATAATGAGTTACATTAAACCATATACCTAAATACTCTCTAAATATATAAAGTCATATATAAATCTAAATATTATATATATTTAAACCAAGTCAAATCGAACACAAAATTAGACTTTAAATAATTGTAATTAATTAAAATAATATGCATTTTAAAGCTTTTATACATGAGTTATTAATTTAATATTCATTATTATACATCATAGTTAATTGGAATATATTGGTATTCAAAATACAATTTATTTACTTAACAGAAAAGTAATGCTTTTCCATTATTATTTGAATTTAGAAATAAAAGTCAATTATCAGAGTTAAGCAGTTATATAAAATTGTTAGATATTACAATTAAGAAATTTGAGATATTTCACACATTCATCTTAATTAGGCATTGAGATCGGTTAATATATTATAGTATTGTTGGTATAATGAGATCTAAATTGATTTCTTAAAAATATATATAATCAGCAATTAAACCAAAACAATGACGTCTATTAAATATCAGACAATTTTATTTTATATACATAATTAATAAATAAATGTTATGAGATATAGTTTAATAATTATATGTTTTCTATTACATATAATATATATTCAACATCAAAAAAGAAAACTTTAATAGTTTTCTTATAAAATTAAATATTTAGATACAGAAGTTGCCGTAGGATGAGAATAGGTACTTAGAATTGATTTGTTCTAATTATAATTTTAAGTGTTTTTAATGTTTATTTGATTACTTATTTACTAAAGTATTGATATCGAGATGGGGTTAAACAGCACTGACCATCTACAGATTCTATAAAATGCAGAATAATACATCCTTTCATCTTATATACCATACTTGAGACCTTAAATCAGAAGATATTATTAGTTTTGTCTATAGCAATTATTATTCTATTGTAAAATTTTGTTTTTTTTTAATATTCTTATACCATGTATTACGTCAACTAAATAATCAGTTTACAAACTCTAAAAATTTTATTTCAATTAATTAAGTACTTTTATCACTTTTTATGGCAATCAATTAAATCTAATTACACACACACACACACACAAACACATTCCGCCACTTTCCCCCACATTTTCCACTTTCTTTAATCTTAGTTATTTAAAGAGAAGCTGTAGATAGTTACTTATAAGCTAACTAAGGCTATCCCAACACTTTGTATTTACTCAAAAATTTCTAATTAAAAATATTATAAATTAATTAGCTTTTTGTTTATTGCTTTCACATTCACCATTTTTTAATTCACATAAAAATCAAAAGCACCAAATTAAAAAAAGACTTATTTAAAACGTGATAAAAAACAAAAATAAAAAAACTTAATAACGTTTACATAACAAAATTAGAACTTAGTGTCAAATTAACAAGTAAAAGTCATCATTTGATTTCCAAAATATATTATAGTATAGTATAAACTACGGCATATAAAACACCTGTAGAAATGTGAAGTCGTTCCTACATAATTAATTAATTATTTAAGAAAAATATACGTAATGTAATATAACATACAATATCATATATAAAATAGTTACCTATACGTATGTCAATTTCTCCTTAAATTTGCTTCTGGCAAATTTTATTATAAAATTGCATTAATAAGTAAAAACGAACATAAAACAAATTTTTCTTTTTTATATTATACATAATTCATTTTTTATTTTAACTAAAAAAAAATGCAATAGATAATGAAATAAAATTTTCTCAAATGCTTTTGCACGAAATTTTAGATACAATTCATATTACTCTAACGTCACGAGCTACTATTTATTATATATTATAAATTGCTTGCAATAAAAAATTAATTTCAATATAAATTTATTGTTGTTGTAGTGTTGTTTTAGTGTTGTTGTAGTGTTGTTGCTTTAACTTCAGTGTAAATATATTCTAAATATGTACATATGTGTATGTGTAATTTATTGTAATTATAGTTCAAATACTACACTCCATAATATATATATAAAAAATTAAATTAAAATATATACTCACCTATACATACTAATATAAATTTTTATTATTATTTATAAACTAAATATATATATTTATCAATATATTTATTTATTTTGCTTTTTAAATTTTTAAAGAATATATATACAATACTTAAATATTTTTAATACTTTTAAATTATTTTTATTTTGTACTTTTTACACTTTTATTAAAAATAAAATCACACACGACCAGTAACTAATAAAATTTTTTTATTATTTTTTTTTTAAACTTAATAAATTTTGTCGTGACTCCACTTTTTGCCTTGGACAGGCACCTACTTTAATTGCATTATGTTTATGGTCGCCTCATCTGTGGTACTGACCGTGGTCGTACTTAACTATCATCATCGCACTGCGGACATACACGAGATGCCACCATGGGTGAGTTTATGTTTATTACACTTTAAATAAACTTTATTTATAATTTCCATTTGATAAGACTGTAAGCAAGACACAAAGCAAACAATGCAATTAAATTATAAGTAAAAGTAATTGCAAAGTGTATATCGGGAAGTAATTAAAGCAGCTGCAACATTTTTCAAAGCTCTGCATTAATTTTATCAAGTTTTGTTTACAGCTGCTGTGACCAAAGATCCGTTACTGGACTGAACTTATTAAGTCTGCCATTGGCTCTTCAAACTATTTTCTTTGTTAACTGTTTATATCATACAAAAGCCGAAGTAAGAAGTGGTGGAAAAAATTAATTAGATTTCGCATAAAGTGGCGAACATGTCCCAAAGCTACTTTGGAAAGTAATTTCTGTTTCGGTGATATATTAAGACCACAAAGATGAAAATAAATGTCTTAGTAGATTAACTAAGACTAGACTGCACAAAACAAGCAGTATTATGATTTCTAGATCAAGCCCGCCAGACAGTTTAAAATGCTACAATGGGTCTTACGTGTCACATATGAACTTTTGTTCTGATCTCAATTTTCTTACACAAGCCGTTAGCTTTTAGTGAACGTGAACATTTCAGGTAATTTCTTACTATTTCATACTTTGTCCATACTATCCCCCGAATATACACCCAATATAGACAATTTTATACACAATTTTATTGAAACAAAAGATCTTGAACTCTGCAAGATTAACTTTGTTGAGAGAACACTTTAACCAGCAGTCTTCTATTAGAAATATTGAAGAGGATGTTAAAATCCACTTCACACAATGTAGTGACTCCTTGAAACGCTCGACTATATTGAAAGGGTTCAAAACTACTGTCTTGAAGTTGTTCAACTACAAATAAATATAGGTATGCGGACTTTACAATGGAAATTTTATTTTCACTTTTTTGCTAAACTTAATTTATTTTAAAATATAATCGAATAATTTATAATATATTATAATAAAAATAATCTTTGCTTCTAAATATTCTTCTGAATTAATTTATAATTATTTAAAACTTACTAATAGATTAAATCCGTTTTTCTACAATGGCTCCCATGGATTTTACGTATGGGAAGACCGGGACGTAAAATTACAAGAAAAACAATATTGCTTAGTAATCGTATGAAAGAATTAGAACTGAAGGAACGTTCTTCTAAATCACTATTAGCAAATGTTCTTGATATTGACGATGATTTTCGACATACAATGTCGGGGTCGCAAACAGCGATTGGATCATCGGCGTAAGTCACATACTTCAATTAAAAACACAAATAAAATATATAATTAATTTTCATGCACTTTATCTTTATTTTTTAAATAATATAGAAGCTTTGGCCGGCCAACGACGGTTGAAGAACATCATAATACGATAGGATGTAATCATAAGGATTTGCATTTAATTCTCAAAGAATTACAATTTATAACTGCACGAATGCGTAAAGCAGATGATGAGGCGGAACTAATAAGCGATTGGAAATTCGCTGCAATGGTTGTGGATAGGTAAGTTAAAGTCCTATGTGATAAAAGTACACATCACGTATAAGACAGGTTTTCATGACATAAAAAAAATATGTATAAGTCAGTGCATAACAGATCGAACTTGATTACTAAACAGGAACAACGCATAAATTATTTGGTATACTAACTAGAAATCAAAGAAAAAAGATCACTCTGAGTGTTGTTCATGAAGTAATCATTATCAAGAACTCAAAGCCTTGTCACATTAAAAAACATTTTTTAATATAAGTATGCTGAAAAAATATTTTGTCATTAAAATAGGACAGAAGACCTTAATAGAAGTGTTTCTATCTGTAAGTCTGACTTTAAATCTGCAGAACCACCACATTAGTTTCATAGTTTTTGAGTTGCTATTTTGCAAATGACTCTTTGTGTAAAAATGATCAATTTTTATGATCTCACAGATAACAAATTGAACTTTTCACTACTTTATCTAGTGACTTGAATCATTTGTAATAGAATTTTGTTATAGGTTTTTTTGAATTGAATACTTTAATTTATTGTGCAGGATTTGATATTAAAATCTTTCATTTTAAAGATCATTAATAAGGTATTGGTGAAATGAGATATTGACTTAAAAAAAACTAAACTAATAAAATTAAACTTTAATATTGGGAGCTCTAGTAACCGATAACTTTTCAAACAAGAAATTAAATTTAACCTATTTGAGTTTAGAAAAATATTAGGTTTCAAATCAAAAAATGTTTGATGTATTAAATGGTGCATGTCTTAAGTACTTAGCAATTTATATTTTGACTAATATTCAAAATAATCATTAATGAAAAAAATAAGTAAAATTTTACAATTTTTAACAAATTATACGAAATTTTACAAAATTTTACAAAACTTTAGCAAAATCGATCAAAGTTTGAGTCTGTGACTAACACAGATAAAAATAGGCATTGATTTATAAAGACATGTTAGAAATATCATTAGCATAAAAACATATTTCATAGAGAAGTTTCGAACAATAGTGAGCAATAACAACAAAAATTATTTTTATATTATTTTTATTAATTAAATTTCTGGCTGGCCATACAGCTATTTCGAATATTGCCAAATATCCATCCTCTTGGAAATAATTCTTTTATTTAATTATTCGTAAATAATTTTTTTAAGACTGCAAGTACCTGGAATCGAACTTGTGCCCTGCCAAATCAAAAGTTCAGAGTCAGCGCACCTTAACCAACTGACTCAAAGCCGTTCTTGACTTTTATGTTCGCACATTTTTCTGGAGTTTTGTCAATTTTCTATAAAAGTTTTTATTAACAAACCAACTTGCTGTATTTATATTAGAACGAAATCATAAACCATTTGTAGAATAATTGAATTAATTAATTATATTTTAATTTTTATTTTTATATTTAATTATTAAGTTTCAATACTATTCTGTTTGTAGAGGCATTATGTATTGTATGAGTTTATTTCTTTCTTTATGTGTGGAACCTAGTCAATGAACGTAAAACGAAAAAATCCGTGTTCGCAGTTTCTGTCACTTCTTTCATATTGACTTTATAGAACAAAAATTAAACGAAAAAATGCAAAATACCAATTTTTAATAATTTTCTTTATTATTGCCTTCAAAGTACTCTCCTCCTGCGGCAATACATACATGCCCACGCTTGATCCAATTTTCCATACAAGTTTTATAGGCCGCCGAAGGTATGGCTTTTAGTTCACGCAGCGACTTCTCTTTTATGGCCACTATGGTCTCAAAACGCGTTCCTCGCAATGGCAATTTGAGTCGGGCGAAATGAAAAAAGTCACACGGGGCCATATCTGGAGAGTCCGGTGCTCGGTTGATGATATTGGTGGAGTTTTTGGCCAAAAACTGCGACACAACCAACGCTGTGTGAGCCGGTCCGTTATCGTGGTGTAAAATCCATGAGTTTTCCTTATGGCCTCTTTTTGCGAATGGCCTCACGCAAACGACACATAACGGACAAATAATACTCCTTATTGACCGTTTGACCATTTGACCGTCCGGAAGGAATTCATAGTGCACCACATCACGAAACCACCAATATCGAAGAAAACAGTCAGTATAACATAACCTTGATTTTAGATCGACTTTGGCGTTATCTTTTCGGTTTCGGCTCACCTTCGAAGCACCATTCGGTCGATTGTTGTTTGGTGGGCGGTGGGCATGTCAAATGCATAGACCCATGTCTTATCACTAGTTATGATGCGTTCGATGAATGTGGGATGTGAGGTCACTATCTGCGTTGGAAATCATATCTTTGGTCACATCACAACGATGTTTTTTTTGAATAAAATTCAGCTAAAAATCGCCACACGAAAATTTTTCGACTTCTTTGTATAGACGTCAAACAAAAACTAATCGTACGATAAGCGTTAAACTTTGACAGAATGTGTATAATAGTGTTGCCAGCGTGAAAATAAAAATGATTTACCGATTGGATAAGCGCGGGAATTCAAAGATTAAAATTCCCGTTCATTCTCGTTCAAGTGTTGTATGTATTAAAACCACATATAACACTTATATCATTAGTTCACACCTGAAAGAAAATAAATGAATATATAATATATTTAATAAATTACTTCTATTAGTATTGAAATCATAATTAAATATGTGAGTGTGAACAATTATTTTATGTTATAAGTTTTCTAAATACTTTAGGGACTTTTAGTGAATACACATAACAAAACTGTAGTCAAAATGCAGTTATTACGATTAAATGTCGTTTAGAAAGTGTTTTTAATTCATTTTTCTAATAATTATTATTAAATACGTGGAAATACTCTTATTTGCAAATCTTAATGAGTTGTCTCCTATCGATATTAATTGCCATTGTGGAGATTGTAATAAATTATATTTAAATTACTCATACGCAACCGAGCCAAAAATTAATTTGACTGTTTCGAACCAATTACAGTTACAACTTTTGTGTTGCTATGAGAGTGACCGAAAATCATTGGAGTCCAATAAATTTCATATAACAAAATATCTAATATTTAGTCAAATTAAGCTTTAATCACAACAATAAAACTCAGCACATTTCAACAAATAGCAATTTTATGTGTGCGGCATTAGCAGAAAATCTCATACAAAAATTAAAAGCGCACGCAAATTTCGAAACGATAGATAGTACGATAGATAGTTGAACGGACGGACAGAAATACCAGAAATACATAATATCAGATAGGTGCAGAAGCTTATATGCATATAATATTACTAAATGTGCCAAATTCTATTATCAATTTAATATATTTAATCCCAATTCACCGAGGATTATGCAGAATTTATGACAATTAAATTTTGTTTGCATAAATATTGTTGCACTGTTGCGTTGCCAGATTTGAGTGGGTGTGCGGGTGTGCGGGTGTGCGAGTGTGCGGGTGTGTGGATGTGTGGACTTGTAAATGTATAAGACTAGGATCAAAGAGTTTTAATACTAAGAAACGCTTACAAACATCTACATAGCTATATATATGCATTCGTGCACAAAAATGAATTTGTGCTAGTGAGAATGTATAACACTTACACATAAATTTTTATCTATACAAAGTGTTTGTACTTAAGTGTGTAACACTTCAACGCACATAAGCATTCCCATTATCCTTTCAATGTGCTTTCTGCTTGTTCTTTAGCTGCTTCCTGCGTACCACATTAGGTTTAAGTGCAAACGATTGTATGCCGGATGTACACTATCAACAACGTTATCAAGTTCATAAACACATCGAAATAACGGAAGCATTTCATAAGCATTAGCAGTAACCATGCGTACGCTCAACGCATACACATGGCACACAGACAGTACACACACAGTACACACACAGTACACACAGTACATACACATGGCAACGAGCACGCAAGCCAGTGCAAACACATTGCAATTTGCAGGCTTACAAAACCATTTACTCCAAATTAATTTTATAGTTATTTTCAATTTAAAATACCAATATTTATCAATTAATTTTTAAAATAATTAAATGGAAAATAATTAATATGAAAGATATTAAATTTGAGTATACACGTATAATCCTGATATGCGCTGCCAGGAAGTATTGAGCTACGGCTCTTAATGGCACGCCACATACAAAAATAAAATTACATTTTTTACAAATATACAACATAGAATAAATAATTTATTAATATTATATTAAAAAATTCAATTAAATACTACATGCGACACGTGAAAAGAACACTCTCCGATTAAAATGAAGTACAATATAATTGAACTTCAAGTATTATTTTATGAGCATTTGTTTCAGGTTTTAAATAAAAATCTTAAAATATTTAACTTATTTTGATATTTTTTTTCTCAAATTAATTTAATAATTCAAATGCAGTGAAAATTCTATTAAATAATTTTACTCATAAACACTCATCTTTCGTAACTCTGCAGTTCTGCTAATTATCAGTTTTCATTTTTCATACAAAGAATGTTTCTTGTGTTTCAAGAACAGTTCTTTGAACCAAACGTAAATGCCGCTCCCTTCGATAAACGCTTGGAATGGGTTGCTTTCATTTTTCATATTTTTCTACTATTGCGCTCGGAGATAACCTAATTTTACATATTGCCTGGTATATCAAATACATCAGATCTCTGTTGTAATCTGCACATTGCGACGACTTTGTTCTGTTCCATAAATTTAGAACTACTTACTTTTAATACTTTAATAATTAAGGAAGCTTTAGCTTGTCTAGAAGTAGGTAATATACTTGAAAGGAATATATATATACTATCGGATAGTCAAGCTGCTTTAAAGTCCTTGAGTTCAGTCCAATTCACATCTAGGACGGTTTTTGACTGCTACACATCTCTAAATGAGATGTCGACGCAGTTCAATATCTCTCTTATCTAGGTTCCCGGTCATAGGGATATTTAAGGCAACTGTAAAGCAGACGAGCTAGCCAGACGGGGTGCTTCAGGAAACCACTCGGAACACCTAAACAATCATTGACATCATGCAAATTAATTTTGAGTTCTTCCTGTGCCAAACTTTTTAACAAAAGATGGGAAGACTCTACGATATGCAGGCATCTATATGTAATGTGGCCACAGACCAACAATCGAAATCTCTCATAGAGATGCCCCGTAGAGATATCAGTCTTGCAGTAGGTTTACTAACAGGTCATTGTACTCTAGGTAATCATGCTAGGAGACTGAATCTACCGTTCAACCAATTTTGTCGCAGTTGTGGTGAGGATGACGAAAGTGCCTCTCACCTGCTTTGTTTCTGTCCGGCACATGCGCGGCGTCGCCTTAAATTTTTGGAGGCTTTCTTTTATGAGGATCTTGACGAACTTCGAGACCTCCCTCTGTGTAGCATTATAAGCTTTATTAAAGATTCAAGATGGTTTTAGACAATGGGATCTAATAATACGGTATCACAATGGGCCTATAGGCCTAAGTGGATCCCCCTGGGTTCGCCGATACAACCTAACCTAACCTACTTATAATACAATATTGCCTATTGTGGGTTATCTATTACTGATAGACAATAAAAAATTTCTTTCGTTGGTCAGCAAAATCGAATTTTGGTATTGTGAACTGCAAACCGATAGAAATTTTTCTATCAGCAGTAGATACATTTGTCTATTGCGTTTGAGCAGTAGAAGTTTATCGATCAGATAAAGAAATACTGTTAAAATGCTATTAACAGTCAATTTAGAATTACATGATCACACAACCAAGTTATTTACGAAAATATTTTTGTAAACACTTTTAAGTTTGGATTTTTAACTAAATTTCGTTATTTTTTTTATAATTTTAAAGTTTACACAAATATTTAATATTGCAACAAAATTGGCTAAACGTTTGGTTAAAAAAATTGTGCTGCTGAACATTGCATTTTGTGCTGTCTTAATTATTGCTGACATAAATTATACTTTCATAGTACATTTGTTTGTCTTCCAAGTTTCGTAATAAGAAAATTGCCTATCAATCGACTCAGTAGACAAATGTCTATTGTCTACCATTAGACATTTCATAATAGCCACTATATATAGGTTAGAACAAGAGCACCGTCAATTTCAGGGTTGTCGAATTGATCAAAACCGATGTAGATTAGGTAAGGTTATGCCAACGATCCTAAGTATGCACTTAGGCCTAGTGGCCCATTGTTAAAAAAAATTCAATATAATAATTTTAAAAATTTATTTAAAAAAGATTTAAAGATAAAGCACACAAAAAACACGACACAGCGTAAAAACACATCTAATATAAAAATGTTCTCTTATTGTTACAAGACTATAGATCGGTATTTCATGGTTAGTGAAACTCTGTCCACATGAAGGCAACAATGCAAAATCAGAAAAAGAAGCGTTAATTAAAGATCCAAATTTGGAAAACGTTGCAGGTTAAAACCGACAATTTTTATTTTCTAAAAAACCGATATCTTACACATTTGATGTGTGTATACTATATTCTAGAACGCAATCAAGTGTTATCCAATTGAAACGATACATTAATACTGATTTTGAAAAGATCTACGGGAACTCTACTATAAATAATAGATCTAAAATTTTGAATCAGATTGAACTCATCCTTAATGGTAAAAGCTTAAATCAGAAAAATAGTATGCTTAACTATTAGCAAATCATCAGTCCAACTTTACTGTAAGGTTTTATTATCTCCAGTAAAGTAGTTAAATTAAGGCTTTTAGAACTGTGTAATTCCAAGGCATTACCCCCCGAAAGATTTACAATTTTCTTGTATATTAGAAAATTTGATATGCAGAGAGATCTTACTATTATATAATAAATGGGTATTCTGGAAATACTTTAGCCCCATAAAAAAGAAATCAAGCGACAAGGAAAAAATTTACCAATATCTGTACAGCCTAGATTTTACTATAAAAATGATGTAGACTGACAAGTTCTCTTAGTGTTGATCAATTTAGATTCATTTAATGAAATAACAACTAAAAATACTAGTTGTTACCTAATGAATGTATGTTAGAACAAAATTGAAGAGATTTTATAGCTTTTATAGAAGTAGTTACGCCAGCTTCATTAGCAAGCTTGTCCACTGGCAAGTCTCTCTTAATCAGTAATCTAGATGAATATTACTTTATTCATAGGCCAGCTCTCATACTAGCATTTTGCAACTATGAGAATAGAATAGGAGATCAGCATAGCAAACCTGCATAGGACACCAGCATAGATTTTATAGTTTTAAATTAAAGAGATTTTATACCTGCCATATATCGTACTTATTAGAATATATGATAATGTTGGCCTTCTTATATCACTTTGAAAAATAAACTGTTATACAACAGTAAATAATTTAACATTAAAAAAATACATAACAAGATATAGTTATATAACTTCTTAATATAATTATATACTATATATATAATATATATTTTATAATATATCATAACTATATAATATTGTTATATAGTATATAGTATAATACATATGTAATTATAATTATTTTGCCAATATATTGTATGACTGTGGTTATTGATTTCGTTACAATTTAATGCAAAAAGTGGATCTGTTAGTAAGTATTACTGATAAGTTGACGAAAGCACAAATTAGAACCACAATGTTGGGTCATTTAATTAATAAACGATCAAACCTTGGTATTTGCAGTCTAAAAAATACATTTTAATCCAAGAAATATTTCCAAAGATTTCTGCTGATAGGTATTTGATATTACTAGAAACATCTTAATAAACTTTAATAATTTGTAATAAATTATTTAATTTTTTTTTTGTGAGTTACTGCTGTAAACAAAGACTATACATATTTTTAAATTATTTGATTTTTGTCGTATTTAATCTTGAATAAATTTTAATTATGTACTGATGATATGCACTACAATTTTAATATTTCTATTTTCAGATTTTGTTTAATTGTTTTCACACTTTTTACAATTATTGCAACGGTGACTGTGTTGCTGTCGGCCCCACACATAATTGTGCAATAAGTCCGATAAAAACTCAACATTCGGAAAAAAATTTATAAAAATATATTAAAAAAGTACAGTACGTAAGTTAAGATTTTTTAGGCAAGTTATGAAAAAACTATTACTTATAAAATACAAAATGAAAAAATGAAAAAATTAAAAAATTAAAAATGCAAACATTTAGAAAAAAAATTGTTAATTAAATTTTTAAGATACTTAAATATATTTGAAAAGTGGTTTACTTAAAAAGTATTACTATGGAAAAAAGGTATTATGTGAGATTACTGCCGAACAACATAGAAAAATTAAGAGAAACATAAGAAATATTATATATAAACATGAAAAAATTATAATAAATTCTTTGATTTGAAATTATTTTAGACTCAAAAGTATTCAGATCAGTTACAGCATATATAAGAAACAATTAAATTAAATTTAATTAAATTAAATTAAATTAAATTAAATTAAATTACATATATCAAAAATGAAGAATTCCGGCAATAAAAATGCGATGTTTTTTGAAACACAAAAGACAACAACAAAAAAAGTAATTATAAAAATAAGTTAATTATTTTTTTATTTAATAAAAAGAAAATTATTATGAAAGATACAGTGATTGTTCCTATAAAAAACACACACATACACTAAAAAACCTCATACGACACGACATATGAAGTACTCACACATACGCACACACATTTTCAAGTTTATGCAAAAAGTTATTATTTTAAATTAAAAAGATATTAAATATATTTATGAAACATGTTTATATAAATATATATGAAGGAAGATAATAAATTAAACTAAAAAAGAAAAATAATAACAATAAGAAATAAGAAACAAAAAAATAAGAAACTACTTAATAAGTATAAAAAGTACATAAGAAGGAAGGAGACAGCTGTTATTAGCATATTAAGGCTTATTAAGGACAAAAGTTTAAAAGAAATTTTAGCAGAAACAAAGGAGAGAGTAAATGAAAAATATTTTTTATGCGCATATTTACAAATTATTAGGTTTATTAAATATAATTTAATTGTGAAATACCAAAAATGATGAAAAAGATAAAAAAATACCAGTAAGAAGGAGTAGTAGGAATGCAACAAATACGTATAAATTGCTGTAGGCAAGAATATAATAAAGCACACAAAAACACACAAAACGGCAACAAAAAGGAAACAAATTCAAATACGATACAATAAAAGTAAAGAGGACAAGGAAATACGAATAAGTAATGCAAAATAACAAAAAAATAATTATTTCCAAATTATAGAAAATTATAGACACTAAGAGAAGTCAAATTTCAAATTCAAAAAAAGGAAAAGTTGTTATTGTATAAAATGAATAATTAAAAATAAAATAATTACATATTTTTTTATAATAATAAGATTTAAAAATATATAAAAAATAACTAATAATAATAACTAAGTTATCATTTCAGTATTAAAATTAAGCAAGCAAAGAAAATCAAATAGTGAAAAAAGTAATGTAGGAATATTAATAAAAAAATAAAAATATAATATATAATAAATTGCAAAACTTAATGACAAAAACAATACCTAACACTATAACAAGCCAAAAAAAAATTAATTACTGTAATATTTCAATCTTTGATATAAAATATAATTCCATGAGATTTTCAAAAAACAATTGCATGAGTTCAAATTTCTGTAAAAAAAAAAAAAATATTAATCCACATTATAGTTAAAAACTACATGTTTTGGGGAAAAAATAAAACCTAATATACACTATAAATACATTCAATGTGATTTGCAAATAAAAAAATTGTAGCACAAATTTTTCTAAATTTTTCCATTAAAATTTACGCAAAATATTTAAAAAAAAAATTAATAATATTAATTTAAAAAAAAATAATAATAACCATTTCATTAGGTTTGAAATCCTAAATAGATTCACATTAAAAAATATTTAGTAAATTTTTAATATATGTAAATGAACTTTAAATGTTCAATTATTTCTAATCACCATCTTATATAGTTACTTATTCCACTCGGTACATCAGAACTTTTTCATAAGTGCTGATTATAACATTATATTATATGTTATATATATTATAAAAAAAATATATATATATTATATATATATATAATATTATATTATATGATTATAATATTATAAGTGCTGATTTATAAGCAGCCCAATTTTGTCTTCTAGTTTTAAAAATTTTAATAAAATACAAATTTTTTGCATGTATTAGAATAGTATTCCACCAACTATTATTATTATTATAATAACAGTCCCGACCACAAAAGCTGTTGGAGCACGCATAACCTTGTTGCCCATAGTAATACCATTGAGAGATTTACTTCATCTCTAAACTATCAGTTTTCTACTATAAACCACAACCAAAACAGTTTTATAGTTTTTCTAAAATGTATCACTTATAGTACAAACAGTAAACTATTTTCTTAACCAAAGTTTTTCTGAATAACTGTGATTTCTTGGAATACTATCGACATCCGTTTACTTTAGGTTTCATAGGTATATATCATAACACTAATGTAGATGTTATACTTTGTAATTAATGTATCACCTACATCACATGCTGTGACCTAATTGTATATGTGAATGTACGAAATTGCTTGTTTATTATCTATATGTTATATATACTCGAATATCTGTTTCAATTAAACTATAAGCCAAATTATGGTTTTTCATCAATACTTTACTAAATCAATGTATTGGTATTGGTGAAATTATTCACTATAATTTAAGAAAGTGAAAAAAAATGTACCCATAGGTTCTCAATGACATGAAATTTTTATTCACTATATTTTAAGAAAGTGAAAAAGAATTGGGTACATTCTACTGAGTAACTCTACAGGCTACTGAGTTTATATTCTCAATGACGTGAATTTTTTGTCAGTTATAGACAGTAATAGATAAAAGTTATAGATAGCAGTTATAGACACTTTTCAGTTATAGATAGCAGTGCAATTTGTATAGCCAAACCTTTTCAAGTGTAGGCTAAAATTAATTCATTTAATGATACAGATTATATATTGCAATTTCCAACTTACTATATATGCACACCATTCAAAATATGAGATAAAGGATGTATTTATTAGATTGGTTCATTACAAAAGATAATCGGCAGATAATGGAAGAATTGTTCTTCAGATAATATAACATATTTAATTATCTATCAATATAGTTAATTAAAACATCTAAGGTTAAAATTATTTATTCTGAAATCCTGTGAGTTTCAATACAGGCATTATATTATAATGATAATTATTTTCTTCACGAGTCTGGGAAATTCTAAAAATTTTGTAAACTGCGGTTTATCTGCAGGGTTTTCACATTAGTTACAATGAAATTGCAAATCACTACATAATTAAATTAAATGTTCATACGAGAAATTTGAATTCCCCATAAGCAAGTCCGTTAGTGTAAATTAGGTTTTATATAAAACTAGGAATTTCATATAGCAATGAACTATAGGTATATAAATTAATAAAAATAATAATATATAAAACACTATATTTTTTTCAAGTTCTGAAAATTATAATTATAATAACATTCAAATGATATGAAATTCAAGGAAATTATGATATAATACTATAAAAAAGAAAAATATATATATTTATGTAGTAACAAATTTAAACAACAAAAACTTATTATACAAAAAACCAAATATTATTATCATATATCGGAAGAAAAAAATTAAAAGAAAGTATTTATTTATTTAGCTGCTAACTACTTATGTAAAAAGAATCATTATTATTAATTAATTTTAGATAATTAGGAGAATAAATAAATATCATTCGCTTTTTAAGTCAATTTATCGTCCAAATTTCGGTAATTAAATTTTAAAATACTTCAAAAATTTACACATTCATGTATTATTTATATAATTTTATTGATAATATTTTTTAAAAAAAACTTTATATTATTATAAGTCAAACACATCAATTTCATTATTTAACAACATATAAAACGGTTAATAAATTATAAGGTTAAATTAGTTAAGTAATTAATTATTTAATTGATAAGTTAATTAAATACTTAAATACCTCAAAAATGACCAACTCTTATATTATTTGTTTATTTTTTTTCTAAATATTTTTTCAAAATTTTTTAAAAGTATTATATTATTATGATCTTAATTTAATCACATTTGGTGATTACAGTATACATATTATAAATTAATTATAAACTAGAAATACTAAAAGAAATTGCTTTGACAGTTGGTACAAGCAGTTTTAAATTAATTTCGAAAAAATTATTCAAAAATAATTATTTTTATTTATTTTGTGTGTGTATCTACCATATCAACTATGAGAATATTATCAAATACCTACACAATTATTTGAGAGTAAATAATTTTGTTACCCATTTAATATACAAAAAACAAAAAATACTATTTTAAATTTTGTTAATTTTTTTAAAAAATTGACGAAGTATTCTATATACTAATGAAATCATTTTAAACTAACCATAGACCATTTTCAAATGGTTGAAAGTTAAACACAGTTGTTTTTAATTTCACCGCTTCTATTTTAAATCCCGATAACTTATTTTTAAATTATCTAAAATATTTAGCAATTATACAATTATGTAATTTTAAGCTGCCTCTATTAAGCATTGGCCATCTATTGGGGTATTTCATTGTCGTTTTCTTATATAAAATGAAAATATCTTTAAGGACTTCTCTAAGTTGTCCATGTTCTTTCTAATATATAGCTTCTTCGGGCGGCTTGTTCATTCGTTGATGTGATTAGCACTTATAAGACTATTATATTTACGACAATTCTATGATTTCTATTTTTTGACCGACTTTCAAAATGTTTTTCTCTGAAAAAGTCGCACGGCACCAGATCTGGTGAATATGGTGCCTGAGCGATGACAGTGGTGTTGACCAACATAAAACAAAATTTTCGAAAAGGGTCTATTACTTAAGGAGTAGTTAACAAACAACAAAATCCGGATACTTTTTGAGCAGAAGGTACTTTACATCTTAACGGATTTTGTACAGCATACAATTGATTATTTAAAAACTTTCTATATTATTTTCTTATATTTATTTACTACTATGATTAATTGAA